GGGAATTGATATATCACTGTTAACTTTTCTTTATTTTCTTGTCTTCAAATTTTTATTCTTTCTAAATGTTATAATTTACATGTATGCTATTCGTATCTATAATTATATATGTGTGCGTTTCTTTGTTATGGTTATTGCATTGCAGCCAACTTCAGTTCAGCAAATTCCAATCCCTATTTATGCACCACTGCAAGGACAGCATCAAGCCCAACTGAGTTTGGGGGCCGGACCTGCTGTTTCCCAGGCCCAGGAATTATTCAGTTCTTCACTTCAACCATATAGGTAATTGCTTTAAAAGTTGTATGTAATGTTAAAAATAATGTACTAGGACAGTGGGGGCAATCTAACCAGTATTCAATGTAAAGCTGTTAGGAATTGGCACAATTCCCCTATACAGTGAACATATGCTAATAAAAATGTAAAAATAATGTAATTACCATCAGCCCTACTGTTTCTTCCCCTCAAAAGCTAGTAATGACCATGTTATAAACAACATTAAATTACTCAAGTCTGTTGATTATATGTTGTAAACCTCAGTCTCTGGTAATTCAAACCAAACTTTATTAAAGAAAGTCGAGCCTTAAAACATCTTTTTTTTTTTTTAATTCATATGTGCATACAATTTTGGATCATTTCTCCCCCCCCTGCCCCCACCCCCTCCCTTACCACCCACTCCACCCCTTCCTTTTCCCCCCCACCCCCTTGATACCCAGCAGAAACTATTTTGCCCTTACCTCTAATTTTGTTGAAGAGAGAGTATAAGCAATAATAGGAAGGAACAAGGGTTTTTGCTAGTTGAGATAAGGATAGCTATACAGGGAATTGACTCATTAATTTCCTATGCAAGTGTGTTACCTTCTAGGTTAATTCTTTTTGATCTAACCTTTTCTCTAGTTCCTGGTCCCCTTTTCCTATTGGCCTCAGTTGCTTTAAGGTATCTGCTTTAGTTTCTCTGCGTTAAGGGCAACAAATGCTAGCCTAGTTTTTTAGGTGTCTTACCTATCCTCACCCCTCCCTTGTGTGCTCTCGCTTTTATCATGTGCTATCTCTAAAGATTTATCTATCTCTAAAGATTTACTCAGGTACACTTTGAGTTTTCTTTACAATTAGGATAATAGCGAAAACTGACTTGTATTAATCCAGCCCTCACATACATTAACTAAACTTAGTTCTTGTACAGCCACACATAGTAAATTAAGTCATCCCCATTTGACACATGAGATAGTTAGGATGCTTAGAGGTAGGAGTTGTTTTTTGTTTGTTTGTTTTTGTTTTGTTTTTTAACCAGAATTTACAGTACAAGGAAGTGAGAGTACTCACTTCCTGAGAGTGGAAGTGTGAGAGTAAAAATTAGATGGTAAGAGCAGTGCACCATGGCATAGCTGTTACGCATGTTCATGGTAATGTCACAAGTCATCAGAAAGAAAAATAAATTTACATTCAGGACATTTAGATGAGGAAGATTATAAAGCTGTAAATTTGCTTTTAGGAATTTGTTTTCTTTTTATACATAGTTTGGGTAACATTTCTGTATTTTTAAGTTAAATTTGGCACCAGTTGGTATAGCTTATGTATTTTAAGACACAATAAATGATACACCTAAAGAGAATAGTCTTTCTGGGATGTAGCTCAGTGGTAGAGACCTTGCCTCAGCATGTACAAGACCCTAAATCAATACCCTAGTAAGCTTGATAAATAAATGTCTTTGTATTTTGGTTAAAGGTTCTTCCATACAATTTAGTAAATCTGTATCATTATTTAGCTTTTCCCTTTTTTTCCTGGTATTACTGTCATTTAGTTTGGCAGTAATTTCTTAAAATTCTTTTAGAGTTGATAAAACTATTTACCCTAACTAGAAGTTAGAGATAGTCTTTTTCATATTCAGTTTGGGACAGCTTTGAATTTGTGTTTAGAAATAAACCTTTAAAATTTCTAATCCAGGAATAGCAGATTCAATCTCACAAGCCACTGTCCCAATGCCTTCCCCCTCCCCCCACCTTCCCCCTCCCCCCACCTCTCACACACATACTGCCCCTACTATTGCTGGGGATAAAATCCAGGGACTTATGAAGCTAATGAAGTGCTCTACCACTGAGCTGCACCTCCAGCTTCAAGCCAGTCTTCCTTCAATTGATACTGGCTGCTTGAACCACTGTTAAGAAGCTTGCAAACACTTCCCACCCAGCAGTGTGAAAGAGTACAATTCTTAATTAGTATTGTCCATCATAGTCATAGGAAATGTAGTAGCAATGTTCTGACATTCTATGTTTGCAATTTCCTTTTTACCAATTGTCTTAGAAGACATGATTTTTAAACCAGACTCATTCCATAAAAATGTAATAAACATATGTAATTGTGGCTAGTGACTACTATAATAGAAGGCACAGGTCAGATTAATAGTGAATTCCTGAATTTATTTCAGGACACCAAAGTTTATAACAGTATCTTCATATTTTCCCATATTTAAGCATAATTTACATATAGGAATTGTGAAGATCACTTGTGATCCATGACTAGCACTCCTGCCTAATGGATTTTGCTCCTGCCACTAAATCAGTTTTAACAAAGGATAATATTTATTCATAATTCTATCTTCAGTCCACTAGTTTGACTTGCTTACTGTTTGCTTTAGCATCTTAAAAGTATACACCGGAGGTTTCCATCCCAGAGATGATAGGGCAGTCCTAGTTTAGATTTCAATGTTGTGTTTTTTAAAAAGAAAGAAAATCTGTGGTAATCAGGGTTAAACTAAAACTACTGTTTTGCTTTATTCCATAATTATCTTGGGGCCATACATACAGGGAAGTAATGAGATACAAAGAATAATAGTTGGGGCTATTTGAGGCTATAGCTTGGAATGCAGTATCATCAAGAGAAAAACAGGTTCAGTTTTTTACTTCATAGTAAACATATAAAAAGAATTACCGTCATTTAAGTTTCTCCAGAGAGAGCATGCCTTTTCCCAAACTTTGACATGTAAAGTTTTGTTGTATACAGGGCTCTAAATCTTGAAATAAGTGTCTTAGATACAGGTTGTTTTCTCTACCTCTTTTCTATTTCTTTTCTTGAGTTCTGTGCTAATTAGATTATTTGGTCATTTGGGATAGTCTTAAGGTTTTCAGATCCACATAAAATTAACTTGTAACACATGTTTTTCATCTTTAATATTTAATGTAGATCTCAGCCAGCCTTTATGCAAAGCAGTCTTTCCCAGCCATCTGTGGTCCTTTCTGGTACTGCTATCCACAACTTCCCAGCTGTCCAACACCAGGAACTCGCCAAGGCACAATCAGGTCTTGCCTTTCAACAAACTTCAAATACTCAGCCTATCCCAATATTGTATGAACATCAACTGGGGCAGGCATCAGGACTAGGAAGTTCCCAATTGATTGATACACATCTTCTCCAGGTAAGGCAGGGGCAAGAACAGTGCACAGATCACTGTATTCCTATTTTAAAATAAATCCAGATTGTTGAAACATTTTTTAAAGAAAAAAAAACTCTAATAGGTGAATGTTAAAAGACATTTTAACGTGAATAGATAACGATCTTCCTTTTTTTATATAGTAGTATTTTTAGAAATTGCTTTGAAATGATTCCCTCAACACCTCTAAGTTAGATATCTTTTCAATCTTACTGCTCTTTCTTATAAAATTTTTTTTGTAGGCTAGAGCAAATCTTACCCAGGCCTCAAATCTTTATTCTGGACAAGTACAGCAGCCTGGTCAGACAAATTTTTATAACACTGCTCAGTCACCAAGTGCTCTCCAGCAGGTAAACTATGGCATGGTAAATTTCCTCAATTTTCTTTATTATTATTTTTATTGCCTTTAATATTGTTTGGAAATTTGTGTAAGACCAAGATGGGAGGAGTGGTTTTCAAACTGAGGTATCCTGGGAATTCCGTTGGGTCCACTGAGAGTGGAAAATGTTTCAGTCAGTCCGATAATACCCACCTCCTCACTCTTTCCCAATCCCCTACTTCAGTCAGATCTGTTTTGCCTGTTTTTTTAGTGGATTTCCATGTAATAGCGTATTTAAACAACAGAATCCATGAATATAAAAGTATGAAGAATGTTTTTCAGGAATGTAAGTGTGATAGGTGGCTTGCCCATTAGTGTTACTGGTGAATGAAGGCCCATAACCACCAAACAAGTTAATGTAATAAATTGCATGGTGTCTCAGAGACTGACAAAGTATAAATGGCAAATACCTTAAGTATATGGATGCAATAATATAAAAATGATTTTTTTTTGCTGGACGCTGGTGGCTCATGCTTGTAATCCTAGCTACTCAGGAGGCAGAGATCAGGAGGATCATGGTTCAAAGCCAGTCCAGGCAAATAGTTCACAAGATCCCATCTCAAAAAACTCCATCACTAAAAAAGGGGTTAGGGGGGCTGGTGGAGTGGCTTAAAGTGATGGCTCTGAATTCAAACCTAAGTGCCGCAAAAAAAAAATAAATAAAAAAGAAAGTCATCTTAGGCTTTCAAAGTTAGTGGAATGTCAACCCAGTTAGTCTTGATCATCTTCTCTTGTGACTCTGGTTGCTATTTTAGGAAATGACAGTTCTTAATTATGTCTTTATTTGCCATTAATATTAAATATGATATTTTTAAAAACTGACGAAAAGTTCTTTTTCTTGTCAAACTCATTTTGACCAGATCTGAAAATTCTATAAGAACATCTACTTGGGAGCTTGCTACTTCATAAGTTACATCAAATATTTTGTGGTTATTTGGCATGTACTGTGAATAACTTCGAAGATAATCATAATTATTTCAGTTATATAGCTCTTCCCTACCAGTAACGTGAACAAAACTATAGTCATGTGCTACATAATGATGTTTCCATCAACAGCAGACTTCTTGACAGTTGGCCTGTAGTTTCATCTGCCAGGTGTGGTGGCACACGCCTATCATCCACCTTCTTGGGAGGTTGAGGCAGAAGGATTGCTCATAACCAGGAGTTCAAGACTAGACTGGGCAACATTGCAAGACCCTGCCTCAAAAAAAGGGGGTTTGGGGAAGGAAGAATGAATTACGATTAGTGAAGTACAATCTGTGTTGTTGCAACACCACATTTATTAAAACACATCACTGTCATTAAGTGACATGCAACCATATTTTGTTGTACCTCAAAAAAAAAAGAGTAGTTACTAAGCAAAAGATTTGTATATGAAGTATACAAAGTATAGATTGATGTTTTCTGTTTAAAGAGTTGTGTGTGTCTACTATAGGTTTATGTGCATAATAGTTATAAGCAAATTACTGCAGTTTTTGTTTGCTTGTTTTCTAGGTTACAGTACCTTTGCCCGCATCCCAGCTTTCCTTGACTAATTTTGGATCTACAGGGCAGCCTCTGATTGCTTTGCCTCAAACTCTTCAGCCCCCATTACAGCATACCACCCCCCAAGCACAGGCTCAGAGCCTGAGCCGTCCTGCACAAGTAAGCCAGCCTTTCAGAGGATTAATCCCTGCTGGCACACAACATAGCATGATCGCAACCACAGGAAAAGTAAGTTTACTTGAGACTAAAGCTAAGTGTTTGGATATGTGTATCTTTGTAGTCTAGTCTATAAAAAGAAAATATACCTTGTAGAAAATCTCAACCCCCCCCCCAATTATACTTACTTTTTTTTTAATTACCATTTATTACTGTGTTTGGTCCTCTCTTGTTTTTACCTAATGATAGAATTCACACATTTTGTGGAGAAATTGAATTTACAAAGTCTCTTAGACTTACTTAATTACAAGTCTACTTGGCCTGATAATTCCATAAAATGGACAGCCTAACTATAAGATTTTTGTGCTAAGGTTCTTAACCCTATCCTAGACTGGTCTTTAAGTATAGCACATTAAACACTGAAGTTAGCTTACAGAATTGAAGACATATTAAGTTTCTTTTGTGTTTATTCTCAGATGTCTGAAATGGAACTAAAAGCCTTTGGAAGTGGTATTGATATTAAACCAGGCACACCTCCAATTGGTGGTAGAAGCACCACACCAACATCTAGTCCTTTCCGGTAAAATGGATATTTAAATTTGCTTATGAGATTTCACAGTAATTGATCACCATTTGTTTGCCAAGTACTTAATATCATCAGTCCCACCCTTTAAGCAGAAAAGTAGTTTGCTAAGATGTTCATTTTGATAATTTTATCTGCAATGTTAACATTTTTTATGTATCCTAAGAAAATTCTTTTAATACAAAGCAAGTGTAGCTAGTCTTTTTTCTCACTTCTGCCTCTCCAGTGTCTCTTCTACTACAGTGTTTGTTCAATTTTCATCAACTACCAAGTATGATGAAAATACTAAGGAAAATGTCTATAAAAATCTAAAAGCATTACTTACTTAGTACTACTGTACTGACCAGTGATGGATTCCTTCCAAGGGCTACATCAACAAGTCCAAACAGCCAGTCCAGCAAAATGAACAGCATTGTCTATCAGAAACAGTTCCAGTCAGCCCC